CTGGGCGGGACCAACTTAAAGTTTTTTTACCGAATCTTTCGAAAAATACAGCAAAATGTTACACTAATAGGTGCCGGAACCTTTTTCGTGCAAATTCTGAGGGAAATTTGTGGAGAAACATGATTTTTTGAGCAAGTTTTTGACGCAACAACTTCACGATACTCGGGTGTACAGGGCAGTGCCAAAACCCGTCGGGGCCTCGGCTTGTTGAGGCCTGCCGCCGACGCGGTTGGTGAAGATTTTTGCCGAAATATTTCGAAAAATACAGCCAAATGTTACACTAATAGATGATGGAACCTATTCCCTACAAATTCCTAGGAAAATTTGTGGGGGAAACATGATTTTTTAGCAAGTTTTGACGTAAGAACTACCCGGCTACTTCAGGGGCCCACCAGGCAATGATCAAAACCTGGGCGGGAACATCTTAAATATTTTTAACGAATCTTTAAAAAAATACAGCAAAATGTTGCATCAATTGGTGCCGGAACCTTTTTCGTGCAAATTCTGAGGAAAATTTGTGGAGAAACATGATTTTTGAGCAAGTTTTGACGCAACAACTTCAGCTACTCAGGTGCACACGGCAGTGCCAAAACCCGTCGGGGCCCACTCATTGTTGAGGCCTGCCGCCGACTCGGTTGGTAAAGATTTTTACCGAATCGTTCGAAAAATACAGCTAAAAGTTACACTACTGGGTACCGGAACCTCTTTTCTACATATTCTGAGGAAAACTTGTGAAGAAACATGATTCTTGGGCAAGTTTTGACCGGCCCCGTGTTCACGGGGCAGTGCCAAAAAAAACCGGTCCGGAGCGTTCAACTTGGCCGGCCGACTGACCTACAGTAACTCGGTAAACCATTTTTTTACCCAAATCTCACGAAAAACACCGCTAAAAGTTACACTACTAAGGCCTGGGTTCTTTTTGACGACATTTTTGAGGTAAACATTTGTGTTAAAAACACTTTGTGTCCAAATTCTGACGTAACAACCAAATTACTGGCCATTTGCAGGCACCACAAATGATTGACATCTCCGTCGAACGATTGAACAAGAATGAGCAAAATTCAGAGATACTGCCGCGAATATTGAAAGTTTCTTCACAGAGAGATGATGTAATAAACTGATAAGATTGTAAAAATCCAAACTTAACGTTGTAAATTATTGTAAAGTTGAGCTAGCACCCAGGCTTAGTACCGGGTATAGCACGGGACGTCTTACTAGCTTCCCCGCCCACAAATATGCAGGCCGCGGTACAATTTTTCTCACCTTTTTCCCAGACCGAAAAAGCTGACAGTGATTCTGCTAGCTTCTAGAACATTTTGTCTGATATTTCTGACGTAAATTTGGTAGAAAATGCAGACTTCAGACCATCTGTACAAGTTTATTGAATGGACCACCCTGCGCTCCAGTCTACAAGAATTTTTTTACATAAAATACCGAGAAAACTTCAAAATACGGAGGCAAATGCACGATTTGGGTCATGATAACCAATTTCTGAACCAACTTTGTGCAAGTTTAGACACTTTTGAGGAACTTCTGACAGAAAAATGTTGTGCAATTTCGGACTAAACCTGCCGCCCAACAACGTCATCAAAATTTCGGTCAAAATTGATTTAAAATCACCAAAATAAACGAGGAAATACGCTATACCTGCTCTACAGATACCATACAAGATAATGCATGGAAAAATTTTGGAATTTTGCCGTAAAAAAGGGAAAAATTCTCACCTTTAATGGCGCTGACAATTCTGAAAAGCCAACAAACGTCCTCTCTGAGGTCTTGTCTCTAGAATGGCGCGATTTTGAACATCAGAACTCGGCTGGTGATTGGTCCTTACAGGGATGGAGCAGACCATTTTGTAATATGGGTAGAATACAATAGTGAAATATTTCTTATTTTCTAATTTCATGGAGTGATTGTTGGAAAAAGTAACGAAAGATATTCATACAATTGATGTAAGAATGTCTATTTCTGAACGAATAATCTTCATTAAGTTTTTCTATCCAAAAGAAAATAAATAAATTGGAAGATACCCCCCCTAATGAATGGTTCAGGCAGGATTCATAGAAATATTTTTCAAGAGTATGCAAATATAAACTTATCTAATCATGTTGAAAAGAACTATTTCAGTACAAAAATATTTATCACAGCAAATAATCTAAACAAAAACGTCTTGTTAAAACTTAGTTTGTATTATGGGTTACCAAAACTTGGGGTTACTGCACTTTATTGGTGGGGGGGCTTAAAGAGAGTGATATTTTTTGTTATATTAGTAACCAAACTTTGTAGTTACGATTTACAGATATAATGTCACAGATGCAAGTGTTTTTCGTTGTAGAATTATCTCTAAAGTCTAAGGACCACGTTGGAGTTGATTTTGTACAGGAAAAAAAGGCGATGCACCCTTACCCCCTACAATGTAGTGGTTCGTCTCCCGCCACAGCCAGAAAAGGGACGTTCCATTACTAGTCTAGACAGCAGGTACGCGGGTGGACAGCGCTGTTCTGGAGGGGACAATCCACTCGATACTTTAGGGGATGGAGCGGTCACGGATTTCTGCTGTTTTTTTGTTACGATGATCACGAAGGATAGAAGTGCTAAAACGTCCGGAAGTATATCAAATCTCAGTATTTATCTAGCCTTCATAGCATGCCAAAAACCATGGTGTTTTAGGGGTTTCGGGGGTCTTCAGGAGCTTTTATGTGCTATTTTCTGATTGCATATCGACAACATAACCGGCCTAGTTGAATTACCACCGTTTTCTAGAACTGGCCACTCACTCACTCACACAATAATAACAGAACGCACAAAATACACAAAGTAAGGATATCTTTCAAATTAAGGTTTATTGCAGTTGAATGCAGTGTTAAGTTTAGTTGCAATCGAAAATATCACTTTTTTTGTCAACAGTGGAAAACTCAGCAAGTTACATAATATTACATAATACTAGTAATTAAACTCTGCTTTTGGAAGTCATGAAATTTGCTGAAGTGTTGATTTTGCAATAGTTTGTTAGAATGTTTGGGAAAACATGAAATAAAATTTAAGATAGGACTGAAAATTTTGTAATGTCAACTGGCCTTGGTCTACAAAATGTGGACCAAATTGGGTAGCAACTAGGTTTTGAAGAACTTATTTTGGACTCAAAATGTATGCAAAAATGTACCTTTCCACACCATATATACGTTATAACTAACGACTTGAATCAGAAACGGTGTTTAGGTTAAGATTGCTTCATAGGAATTCAAAATTCACCAAACATTTCTGTTTTCAGGTTTCTAGAAGGTACCTGATGAAGGTCAGATATAAACGACCTTGACTTTGTTACCCACAATACTTTGTTACCCACGATGCACCACAAGCAAGTTTCATGACTCCAAAGGGGAAAACATAATTTTAGTTACACGGAATAAACTTCTGTTAATATTATTTGCACACAAGTCTGCTTAGATGATGTTAAATTATATTGCAAGTTAGGAATATTTGCACATATGAAATTTTCAAGAAATAAAAATATTATAACTGTTAAAGCGTTTAGTTTGGAATAAGTGGTTGATTTGAATATGTACAAAACTTCTGTTATACTTAAACTTAATAGTATGAAATATAATCTTACATGATCACAACTTTCAACAAGGATAGAACAAGCAAACAAAATGTCTGCCAGAGTGGGGTGACCTTGTGCTCTGTTGTCAAGGTCGAAAAAAACATGGTGGGACGCAAGACCATGTTCTTAAGGCTCGAAACAGAGCACAAAACACATGGGGCTTGTTCTGAAACTCATCAAAACTGTGTGATAGTGTATGAAATACAACAATGAGATTCAGAAAGCGGTATTCAAACCCCCAACCTCTGGATCAGAAGCCCAATGTGTACAAGGACCCAGCTCTGGCTGACAATACAAAAGAACCTACTACATTAAGTAACAATGAAATGGTCTTCAGTCTTGGTATTTACAATGTTTGGCCTGTGAACCCTTTTTGACCTTTGACTTCTGACATTTGAACTTACTTCTGACCTGTCACCTTCTGACATGTGACCTTAAGGACTCCTGAGCACTCTCATTGCAATCTTTTGGTCTTAGTGTCAAGTACACTTTGAACTTCGACCCAATAACATCATGACACACTTTTGACCTTGTCAGAGGATCAAGGTCAAATCAAGGTCAAACACAAGTTCTTTTCACTATGACCTAAAAGGATGAACTACATCCAAACTTATGTATTACATGAAATGTCCACTATACTAGAATTGCTTAAACTTTGGCACAACAAGAACATTCTCTAACACATCTTACAAGAAAAGTCTTCCTACCAACCTATAAACACGAGAAACAACATTAGAAAAGTAGCAAAATGGTCAAACTTTTGTTACATGTAGAAACTGGATGATTGACTAAATGAATGAGGTAATGATGCAAAGAGTACAAAAGTTTTAGGCACAAAAATGTACAGCTTCTAAGTAAGCGTGTAGCTCAACACTCACACTCTCACTATCTGGTTCAACATGGTCATACATGTAACCTGTGCTTAACACATCAGAAGGTTCCAATGTTAAATTTTCTTACAATCATTTCTTAAATGGAAGCCAAAATGAATGCACAAATGCATGGCATCCACAGAGTTGACTTGGTATAGCCCTTAGCATAGAATAAACTCTGTTGCCGCACAAAATACAATTTGGAGCATTGTAAGGCCACAATAAGGCTACACCAAGTTAATTAGTTGGTTCTCTGTTTCAAGAAGGAAAAAAAACACAAAAGTGAGCAAGAAAATCAACACAAAAACAGAGACTGAGGGGACAGTCTTTACTTTGGTATATACACCAAAAAAGAGTTACTCAAGAAACTGGATATGATTTTGGAAAGAGATGTTTCAGGTGGCATCCACTACCTTTCGTCAGTGACACTGGAGACTTGTCAAAAAAGCCAGTGTCACTGACGAAAGGTAGTGGATGCTACCTGAAACATCTGACCATTTCCAAAATCATATACAGTTACTTGAGTAACTGTTTCTTGGCATATCTTAATACCTGGAAGTCTAACCTTCACCAAGTGAAATTTTCATTCAAGCCCTCTGTTTTTATTTTGATCTCAAGTTTTGTGAAAAATGCCAAGAAAACAAAAGAACCAAGAAAATAACTTGGTATGGCCTAAAATATTACACAGTTACATTTCTTGTTGGACTGGCCCACTACAAGGAGTAAGGGGGTGGTTTTTTCGTTGCCTGGTTGATCCTGCCCCTCCCCATTTGGGTAGGAAGGTGGTTGGGTCGGGAGGCCAGGGTAGGGTGGACAATGAGCATAGGTCAGGACATGCTGCTGGCCCGTACCATTGTAGATCACCACGGGGGTGGCAGGGTTCACTCCCGGAGGGGCTGACACCATCGGATGGATGCTCTGGAAAACAGTACAAAGTTCAGAAAAAAAAAGTTTTCTAATTTTCTGGTTTTTGAAGCCAAGTTTTCACTATCGATATTACGATTCTTGTAGAACAATTTGCCTCAAGAAAGCTAAATAATTATGCAACATTGTTAAACCAAGCACAATTTCTTGATATGTTATAAACCGATTGATGTATGAGAAACAAAATTGTTCAGTTACTGTTATATTGACTGACAGAAAACAATCCAGATTAAAAATAAAAGAACAACAAAATTGAGCCAACTTTGTTGACAACAAAAAAAGGGTTGTTATGATTTGCTGATGCATCCCATGCACAAGAATTCTTTCTTATTTTTCCATAACTAAATGAATGAGGTACAATTTGTACAATTTGTATCTTAACCCTTGTCCTACGAAGCCCAACAATAGTTGTTTGCACATACAGTACCATCTATATAGAACTCTGTGTAAGTACGATTTGGGGGTATTTCTTGTGCAATGCATCACACCGCAGCGAAATGCAACAAATGCGGAAGTAACTATGCCACAGCAGGGAAAAAAAAGTTGGGGGTCTATGACCTGATCAAGACATGAAATTATTGAAAAATATTGTCTAAAGAATGCCACAAGGACAAGGGCTAATCTACAATTTATTATCTCCATCTTACCGATGACTGGAAGGCACTGATGAGGAAGATGGTTGCCACGGTGACAGTTAGTGCCAGGATGTTGAGAACGACGGAGGCCCAGAGGAGCGCCTGGAACTCCGTCTCCACCTGGTCACACGAGTCCACGTTGTCATACCTGTGGGGCTGCAGGGACAGGCTGGGGGAGAGAGTAACATTGTTACAGTTACTCTAACAGTATACATGGTGACCAGCCCTCTCTGTCCTGCCACTTGCTACATAATGTAACCCTAGGTGTGTACTATGTTGTCATATCTGTGGGGCTGCAGGGACAGGCTGGGGGAGAGTATTAAAAATTTGTTTGTTAAGTCTAGTTTTACTATTAATTAGAAAGGTAATATTTTCATTTTTAGCAAATACAAAATGTTTACCTTCACATGGCAAGCATAATAAACTACTGCTCTGATTCTTACTTAAACACATTCATACATATGGTGACCAGCCCCTCCAACTCTGCCCTGGCACTTGCTACATTGATTCTACAGAAGTTTTAGGTCATGTCTGAGATGTTTCTGTAGCTGGTGTACAGGTAGAACTGTTGACTGCTACAGCACCAGTTACCATGGTGATAGACATCTGGTCCAGGTCATTGATCTTTTGTTAGAAGAAGAAGAAAGGAGGAAGAGAACAAAAACAATACGTTTTCTTTCTGCAAATGTGGTGCACGACCATGTCACACTTGCCGAAGGTCCAGTAACCAGCCTCACCACACAAACAAACGAACAAACAAACAAACATACCTGTAGCCTGGGACGTTACAGTGTTGTTGTGAGTACAGGTAGCAACAGTAGCATGTCCGATGGTGCACCACCATGTCACATTTGCCGAAGGTCCAGTAACCAGCCTCACCACACGTCACAAATCCTGTGGGTCCATTCACGTGTCGACACATTGAGAAGTCTGTTTTCTGTGGAGGGGAAGACAGAAATTAGTACTCGGTTTTGTTTGAAAGAAAATTCTGTTAACTCAAAAGACTGAAGACAGTTGCAATCTTAGCTGTACAAACTGATACTATGTAGCAATTCTAACTGAAAAACTGCTACAATGTAATGTTACATGGAGTGTAACAATTCTGCATGTAAATGACTGATGCCATGAAGCAAAAGTTCTGCAATTCAGTCATTGTAAAACATGGTAGAGCACTTCTACCTGTAACAACTGATAACATGTAGCAGTTCTAAGTGTAAAAACAGATATTTTGTAGCAGATAATGTTACTCACTGCCACAAGTCCAGCCGCCACACCATCCACCACAGTCCCGATAACGGCCATGACAGCACCTAACCCCAACACCACCATCCCTCCTGCCATCTGTAACATAGTAACAGCCAATCAGCAGTCAGAAACAACGGTAACCATGGTGACACACACAAAAAAAATTACAACAAATCTAGAGACTGTCACTGACAAAAGCTAGTGGATGCTAGCTGAAACGTCTGACCATTTTCAAAATCATATCCAGTTGCCTGAGTAACTGCTTTTTGGCGTAAATCTAGAGACTTCATGGAGCTGTGAAGTCTTTGAGTTGTGGAGTTTCTGTCGGTCTGATTTGTGCTAGCCTCCACCAGGCCTACTACAGGGTAAAGATCAGACTACAATTCGGTAAAAAAGGGGGAAAAAGTTGGCCAGGAGAGTCAGTCCACAAGAACAAACGAACTCTATACTGGATTAAATCTCCTAGTCAATTATTCTCCCTATTGGCTAAATTTTACCTTTTTTTAGACTAGGTGTGTGCTACCTGGATGTGAAAGGTTTATCTTATGTATTGTCCTGGAGAAACAGTAGACACAAACTCACCCATATTCTGCCCTTCTAAGACTGAATGTGAAAAGTTTATTTTATGAATTCTCTAGGAGGAAAAAAAAACTCCAACGTTAACTCACCCATATTCTGCCTTTCTGAGATTTGCAGACCCCCAGCAGAGACACAAGAGACCCTACAGCAACCTGTGGAAAATAACAAGATTACCACAATTTATTTACAGACAAGAGTACAGAGATGTTTGTATGTTCACTAACTGTTCTACTCAAAGTGGATATTCAACACTATGTAGAAACACGAATCCAGAACTGTGCCTGTGGCAAGTCTATGTTCTTGGATATCCTGAGACTATCCAGAACCGTGCCTGATCCTTACCCTAACCCATTCAGGCATGGTACTAGATAGACACAGTTTTGGATACGATAGAGACTATCCAAGACCGTGCTAGATCCAAACCCTAACCCATTCAGGCATGGCACTAGACAGGCACGGCTCTGGAAATGATACATTTTCTGCTATTAGATATGATCATGTCCACGTACCACTATGCCCGGCCAGAAGGCCCCGACTTTGACGTTATCAGTGACAAAGTGAGCTCGGAGTCCAACTGCAAACGATGCCAGCGCCACCAGAAGAGTCACAACACACAGCTGTACTGCTCTCTTCTGTTTAGTCACATACTCTGGGAACAACAAGGAAAAAAAGAAACATGAAAACAGCGAAAAAGGTTTAAAAAATGTTGTTTTCTGTTAGATTGAGACTACCACAGGAAGGGTCACCACACACAGCTGCACCGCTCTCTTCTGTTTAGTCACGTACTCTGGGAAAAACAAGAAATAAGAAACATGAAATACAAAATCTCAAACATTTCCATCAAGTCGAAAGCTCTTTTCTGCCTCCACATGTACTCTGCAAGAATAAAAATAAATAAGTATGAAAATATTGAAAAACAGACTTCATCCCTGGTCAGAAACACACACACAAACATACAGACAGAAAGATACACACACACACACAGACAGACACACACACAAATACACACACATGCACACAATATGGGAGTGAAGTAAATGTACATACATGTTTTTGGCAGTTTTGCAGGCAGGACTGTCTGTACTTTCCCAACTATGTCACCTACACATACTTCAGCTAACTATTTGCTGCTGCTAAAAAACATTGTATATACAGCTAAAGTCAGACAGATAATGCTTAAAAACTTACCACCCATTGCTGGAACATTGTAAGACAACCGAAATCAAAATAGAAAACACTGTTAGAAATATCCCCTCATTTTTTTGCCACCAGGGAAGTTCAGAACAAGGATGTAGTCCAAAATCAATATGACCGATACGTGATATTGTAATTGAACAATACTTATGTATGATGTTGAGCATTTTTATTCTGACAGACTCTTCCACTAACTAAAAAGGGGGGGGGGGATAGGTAGTTTGGAAAGGATGGGGAATTTTGTTGCGTATTATTCCTTTTCCTTCAGCAGCTAACATGCACTTCAAAAATTACATGGTACATTGTATCACCTAGACAATGCTGAGTCCATATCTTGCTTTTCGAACATTTCAATCTTAGTGAATCTTTAGCAAGAGGCCAACATGAAACCAGAAGGCTAGGAGAAAAACCTGAATCTGACTAAGGTACAAACTTTCCCTTCGGCCATGTTTTTATGTTGATCTTCCATTTCAGCGTTACTATTTTTGTAAATCTCAGCTCAAAAGTTCATGTCTGGTTCAGAAGTTTTAAATATCTATTACTACACTTTGAGAGCTTACTACTACTTAATCTGACAGGACATGACTTTGTGGCTTCGTTAACAACTTCGTTAACAGCCGTGGGGTACACATTAGAGCCTACCTTATGTTTACTTAGCCTTAGCTTAAGTTAGCTCAATACTATTGTACATGTAGATGTAATCTCTAGAACATTAGTGCCTACCAGCACGTCGGCAGAACGTACTGTACCTGCACAAAACCTGTAATGTATTGTGCATAGCACTTTGGCAGAAGGTTTCATATAAGGTCGTATTCGCGCATAGTCTAGTAAGATTAGCATTCCGACAGTAGTTTCCAAATGTTATGTCGGAAAATATATTGTCTGCAACAGGCAAAATTTTGATCATAAATCCAACGAAAACCGAGAAAAATCAGGATTCTGTTATGGTGCAGTATGTTCTGCCGATGTGGTGTGCCTACCTTATGTTTACTTAGCCTTAGCCTATGACTATTGTACATGTAGATGTAATCTCTACCATCAGTAAAGCCAGCTGGTTTAACTGTCTCAGGTGATGTTAGACAGACATCCTGATTTGACCTTCAGGACACAGGAAGAACCAGTAAAGGTCATGGGGTCAAACAAGGGCATATCATTAGGATAATTATTCATCATTATGTTCTGTCATTGTAACCGCAGTTCTAGGTAGACTTGCTAAATACTATCATGAAAGTTCATCTGTGTTGGTAGTTACATGTTTAGAGTTAAAACTTTTGTTCCACAAAGAAGTTCTCTCACCCAGAGCTTTCAACGATCACATTTAGTCACTCTGGTTTTCTTCAGTAGACTGACCCAGTGAGGCTTGTCAAGCGACTTCTTTGTGAGATGTCAATACTGGGTCAAATTGTGTTGGATCAAACGTTTTAACTTTATACTTGCTTAGTACTAATTTAGATACTACTAGAAAGTTTGAAACGGAGTGTCATCACATACATGTATGAAAGAATGGACAATAGATTTGTGTTTGGTGGGCAAAATAATGATTTAAAAGCTATTCCATGACCACCTGTTGGCATGTTTCCCCCTCCGGGTCCTAGCATGAAGTTTTTTTAGAAAAGCAAAAGTACATGAATTTACGTTAAACAGACAAGTTTGTTTTGGAGGTCAACTACAAGGTCAAGAAGGTGTGAGAAGGATGACTGTTGCCTAGCAATGGTTGATGGTCACCTGGCAACGGTTGCTAAGGATCTATTCATGGCATTCATACCTACGGAAAACTCTTTCAGGTGTGTGTTGTAACTTGTAGCACATGTTACCAACAATGTGACATTGTTGCAACTGGTTACCTGACAAATGTGCAACAGTGGACCATTGTTTTGAATAGATGTCTGCAAATTTTGCACAGAAACGAACAATCTTGAGAGCTTATTTTGCAAAATGTCTATATCATCAATAAATAAGTAAGATATTATAAATGTGTATGTAAGTAAGATATCATAAATGTGATTGTCTTAGTAACTTTTTTTATCTAACTTGCTTATGACTAAGCCCTGTCCTGATTTAGAGTTTAAGCATGGGGGGGGGGGGCTGCTAAAAGAAAATAGCTTAAGACAGTTAATATCCAACTGTTTCAACTCCAAACTTAAAAACATCACGAAAACATCCTACAGTGAAATGATGTCCTTAGGCCACACCAATTTAATTTCTTGGTTAACGGATTCGCCGCTTCATTTTTTTCTGATTTGCAAATAAAAATAAAAATTCAGAATAAACTGCAAAATGCTCATATTTTGCCCTGAACAGTTGAAAACAGTCCTTTTCTTCCTAGTTGTTACAATTATTCCATATTTCAATGCAGTGGTATCATTAAAAGTTCAAAATTCATTGTTTAAATTTTGAACCAGCCTGGTGTGTTGACTTCATGGCTCCTATCGTACCATTTTGGGCCATAATAGGATGCCTAGGCCTGTTTTTATTTTAATTTTTTTTCGCCCGCCCGCTCCATTTTTTTTTTAGAAAAATCCGTTAACCAAGAAATTAGATTGGTGTGGCCTTGCAAAGACCAATGACCTTACAGTAACCGACCTGTCTGCAGTGTTCATAATTATTACAATGACGCCTCTGTCAGATAAAGGTACATCATAATTTTCTGCTCGGTCGAATCACAAAAGAGAATCCAGTTTTTTTAATGCCGTCGGCTCTGCCCTGAAGGCACAACACCTGCTGCAGAAAATACTTAAAATTGTCTCTCTTTGTTCTAAAAGTCACCTGAGAAATTATACCTAATTTCTCTCAAAACAAGAAAAGTTCATAGGTGGATGTCAAATTTAGATTCTTGGCAAGGCAAATTAGGGAATAGTGGTGTGTCTGCAGCTAACCTAAAAATCTAGTTGCACAGAAAAACTTTGGGGCACACAAGTGTTCACTCAGTGGTCGAAATACTTTTTTTCAGTACTCTGCAATATTGCAGAAGACTCAAAATTTTGTTCTGCAATTTGGAAATACTTTCTGCAAATACACAAGCCTCCATATTACAACCTATCTGCAAATACACAAGCCTCCATACTACAACCTTCTCAAACCAATAATTCCTTTTTTACATCATATATAGCTTTGTAAATCTGTACAGTAGCATTACTGGACTGCAGGAGAATTTCAGGTTTATAAGCATAAACTATAGATTGATATGCAAATTAGTGAAGACAATTTTTTGGAAGTCCAAAAGGAAACAAAAGTTAGACAAGTCAAGACAAGGATGATGCAAATTAGTGAAGAAGCTCCTGTTGTTTCAGAACTGTCTGTCCTTGGGGCCTGGAAGTTTTAGTTTGCTAAATTCAAAACTAATGAATCTGGAGCCTATTTTTCCTTCTGCAAAATTGCAGATTGTATAATTTTTTCTTCTGCAATCTTGAAAATCTATCTGCAGATTGCAGACTGCAGGCAGGTATTTCGAACACTGTCACTGAATAAAGTAGAATGTTACTGTTAGCAAAAACCTACATGCAAACAATTTCAAACTTCTAAACAAGTAATACACCAAAGATTTTAATATTTCCTTGACACTTAAATGTCAAGAATATGCTGTATGAGTGTACAATTGATGTACAAACTTTAAACAAAGTCCACTTTACTGGTAGCTGGTGCACCCACAGTCAGAGATCTAAGGTGCACAGCTCCAATTTTGGGTGCAGAAAAGTGCTGTTTTATAATGCACCCAGGCTATTGAGCCCTTTAGGGAAATGCCTTCAAGAAATACCACACAGCTTGCCTGGTATCCAAACCTATTGCAGCTGCCTAGTCTCAGCAGATAAAATAGGCTTGGCTCCAGGCTTTTACTTAGCTAGAGGGAATGTCCATGGTGTATTTTGGACTCCCTGTACTGAAAATACTAAAATACTAAGAAATTGGACTCCCTACTTTTTGGTAGGACACCCTAAAGACACCCTATTTTTCCCACTCCCTACCCCTGCCATGCACACATGCCTCCCAACAGCCTCACTGTAATAGCATAACTACAAAAATGATGGTTTAATGAAGGAAAAAAACTCAAATTCCTCAAAATTTGCACTTCAAAATGCAGAAAGTTTTTGATGACATAATGGATTTCAAAAAAGGCCCCCCTAAAAAAATCCTAGCTAAAAGCCCGTTGAGCACCCGTCTAACACACTGTGCCACCAATATTCACACGATACTAAACCATCGCTGCGCAGAATTCAAAGCGCCAAACCGCCCGCCTACCCTGGGAACCGCAGAATGCACAAATATCCGCAATTGACCATAATGACCGTAACTCGGCCCTTTGTGCTGTAGACCTTTTTTGTCCTGCCATCTGTTCAGTCTAAACTGTGCCGTAAGCTCCACTTGACTTCGGAGGGCAAATACTAGTTATAGTGGTCCCAAAGTCAAAAGCATGGGCGACAATACAGGAACACTTTTGCTGTGCACTTCATAACACTATAGTGGTGTATTTTGTGTACAAATATGTGTAGTGTAGGAATGGACTTCAGGCTTTACATACGAAAGCCGCGACAATTTGATTTCTTGGCTCTAGGGTTAGAGAAAGTAATGATGAAATAGAAAATCGACATCAAAGCATCTAATCTGCGAAGTTTTAGCAAAATACGTGAGTGAATTCAGTCAGTTGCAAGTTAGTTTTCGTCCCAGTGCTAGCCTAGAGTGTTTTCATCTTGGTATTTTGATGAATTTTTTAAGGTAAACTAAGGCCTAACCTAATTCTATTACACGGTTTTTGTGAGTACTGAATAAAGGGATAGAAAAGGAGCATTGTAGGTGGGCTAGTACAAGAGGTAGTCAGAAATTCTCTTGCTCAAAACTGCAGGGCTCAAAATACTGGGTGCATGTGCACCTTAGTGCACCTACATTTGGAGCTGTGCACCTAATGTTTTTTTGTGGGTGCACCAGTGGTATTATATATTTTCGTAGGTTTACGTATGTAAAGATGTTTAATGTATACAGCATATTCTTAGATTCTAAGTGTCAGAAAAATAATAAAATCTCTGTAGAACTAGAGGTACTTTTCTGTAGAAATGAAGCATTTAGGTTTTGCTAACATTCTACTTATTTTATTTTATATGGTGCACCCAAAAATGTATTTGCACCCATTTTTTTGGGTTGGGTGCACCAGTGCACCTATTCCCAAAAATGAATTTGAGTCCTGCCTGGAAAAAAAAGAATAAAATCTCCTTTGAATCTTTCCTTACCTTTACATCTGAAGTTTGCGTCGCTCAGCGTTCTGTTTGTTGTTTGTTGTTGTTGTTGTTGTTCTTGTTGCTGGGGTAACAGCGGCCCGGCCTCTGGAGTCGACTTCCGTCTTCCCTTCTTGTCTTTTTTCTTCATTTTTGTCATCGTGAGTCCTGATGGGGAAAGAAAACATTCATGAATTAGATACTTTTTTTTTATTTCAATTATATTTAGAGGAGAAAGCAACATCTTTTTGAGTAAGCAAATCTTAATTAAATCTCCTCAAACAGTCAAATATAAAATAATTACAGAAAATGACGTTGATAAAACTAAGCCAAAGCAAATAAGAAAAAATTAAAATAAATTTTAACTGAAACTGCAAAAGAATTGAAATCAAATTTTTACTAGCTCTGCGCCAAGTTTGTTTACATGTAGCCAGTCAGTCTATAAAAATTAGTATGCTCGTCAGTGTCAAATTACCTATACTAGTAGTAGGACTATTGGTTAAAATGATCAAATACATGTCACCCCTGCTAAAATCAAAACCCTTTTTCCTTAAACCTAACACCTACTAGTGCCACAAACCAAAAATTACCGGTATCATAATTCCATCCATAACTTCTTGACTTCTTTTGTTTACATACAACCACTAGTAAAAGTAAAAACATAACCTCCCAGCAATTGCCCCAGGCAATTCCCCATTTGACCCCCGCCCCCTCTACAGACATTATGACAGCAGGAGTGGTTCAGCCATTGTCTGGTTGCCCCCGGCGATGGAACCGCGAGGTCAGAGGTCGCACGACGCCAGGTGCAGAATCGGTTATTAGACAAGTGAGACAAGAAACCTTGGGACAATTAAGGTGACAGTCTGCCCTTAGGTTTCTAGATAAAGGAGGCAACTGACTACTACATAAATAACTTTTCAAGATTGTTTGATTTGGAAGCATTCAAATCTTTTACAACTTGGCTTCCATTGAGCAACTTAAGCCACAAGTTTGACTGAAATCGGTTGAGTGCTGATATACTAAATTCTCCAAGCAGACATTTATAACAGGCTTCAGCTTATTGTTGTTGTGTTTTGAGCATGTTTTTGTTTGGCTTTCTTTTTGTACTTTTTCTTTTCCTACCAGGTACTGTATTTCACTTTATGTTCACGGTAGCAAAAGTTCATGGTCTGAGAAAAATGGACATGTTCACAGAACTACAATGTATATATTCACTGTGGCGACAGGTGCAGGAAAGAGAAAGACGAGGAATTATATGTTAACTGTAATGATAAGTTCACAGTGAAAACAGTGAACATAACAGTACAGTGAAAAAATCAGGAATTACAGTATCTATTTTTCACCAGCTAAACAGTAGTATGTGATACTGCCTTGCCAATTTGATACTGTCTTTAAGTTGTTAGCAACTAAACAACTTGATCTGTTCGAGATTACTGATAGCACATACCAAAATACATCAAGAATTATAAGCCGAAGCCTAAAATTCTGCTGGAGAGTAAAGAGTAAAAAAAAAAAACAACACTCAAATTTCGAAAGGAAACCCGAGACTAGTGAGAGGTGAGAAAAAAGTGGCCACTTTGTACGGAATTCACGGCATTCCGGCGACCATTAAAAGCATTCCACAGTTCTGGGGTCAGTTTCTGAAGTCAGCAAACTGAAAACCCGGTCACAGACAAGTCCTAGCCTCCGTAGCAGGCTTATAGAACTGGGGGTTTGGTGGTCTTCGGCTGTTTTCTGATTAGACCAGTTCAAAAACGGGGGTAATTCAACCAGGCCGGCTATGTTGTCTATATGCAATCAGAAAATAGCACATAAAAGCTCCCAAAGACACTGAAGACCCCCCAAAAAACCCCAGGTTTTTGGCATGCTATGGAGGCTAGGCAAGTCAGAAGTCACAGGGGTTGTACATGGGTTTATTATTACTTAGGTACCTCCATTGGGATGTTATAATGTTAGGTAATTATCAGTAATTGTTTGAATTTTGTTGGTTTCTCTGTCTATTTCTTCACACACACGATTACAACAATTGACTGTCCAAGTTTTTCTTTTAATTCCATATAGCCTAACTTAGACCTCAGTAGTACACCTACTCCCGGATATGAAGTTTAACTGTTCAAGCCCTGGTTTCATTGCAGGGGTTATCTCCAACTTCCGAATCCAAGCAGATATTATCCATTGGCCAGACAGTTGCCATTTGCTGGGACTCTCTTTAATGGCCTGTTCTAACAGTAATGCTATCGCCACCAGACATCTGCTTGGAGATTTCGGCAGTTACACATTTACATGTATGTGTGCTTGCTTACCAATTCAGATTCAAACCCAGGAAAACTTCACCCATGTCCTCAGCCCCTGGCCTGGACCAGTGCCTGTCAATAGCCCTGCACTGAAGCATGTCCGTCCTCACATTTCTGCCTCGGTGTTTACTCACCAAAATGTCCTGTTTGTCTCTGCTCAACTCACAACACACAAAAGAGGGAACCATGTAGAACTGGAGCAACATGACAGAACACAAGGGGGCTGCATGCACTTTGAAGGTTCTGGCTTTAGTTTTAGTTTGGCGTTATGGTAAATGCAAAGAGCGAAGATACCAATATGGCAAATCTCTGTAAAGTACCCGGCTGGAGAACAGCCTCAGCAAATTATTACAATTTTGAAACTGGATGGAGTGCATCACAAAAGAGGGAACCATGTAGAACTGGAGCAACATGACAGAACACAAGGGGGCTGCATGCAGTTTGAGGGTTCTGGCTAGGATTGTAGTTTAGCGTTATGGTAAAAGCAAACGAAACAACCAACTGGGGGATGGTGAAAAAGAGGAGGGGCCTTCAAATTGGATGGTGGGCATCATGTTATATCATAATTCCAAAACTTACAGGAATCATTAAAATTTTAGCTAAGATTTTCCACAGAAAAATCTTTCAGGTTTTAACCTTTTTACACACAGTGCAAAACTCTGACGCAAACATCACACTTTACCATAGCTCTAGCTAAGTGTCCATCTTTCATAGTAGTTCAATAAACATCATTACACTTTTTTGTGTCATCTTCGTAAAATTGGATTGAAAGCATCACAGATTTTCCACACAAAAAGATTTTCTGACAAAAACCTTTCACACAACACAAAACTAAGGAGAGTAAGGTACAAACCTCCTGAACCTTTTAAGTCACCATAGCAGGCATAGCTCTAAGTCTGAGTCTAACCAACAACTGAACAAGTGGCCATCCTGGATACTGAGTAGGATTAAAGTTTTTTTTAAACCCCATGACAATTGGTAACCCAAACACAGCTGTCCCCGAGCAAATGTCATCTTTTTCACAACATCCAGTCCTCTCAATGGGAACAGTCTATTGGGAACTTGTACAAACCCTGTCTAAACAAGTTCAGCTACTCTACACACGACCAGGATGTCATGGTCTTTGTACATACTGTTTGAGAGAATAATAAAGTTTAAGAAACCAGTGAACAATTTAAAAAATGACAATATGTCTACAAAATCAAGCATCCAGTCCTCTCAATAGGAACACTGTCTTTTGGGAACCTGTAATTGTAAAAACCCTGTCTAAACAAGTTCAGCTACTCTACACACGACCAGGATGTCATGGCCTTTGTACGTAGTGTTTGAAAAAAAGAATAGGGTTGGAGAAACCAGTTTTTGGAGAAATCAGCTGGATTTGCTGCCTAGTGCTCCACGTGTATTGCCATTGCAAGTTGAATAAAGACACGAGCTAACAACTAAAAAAATTACAATGACTGCAACTCAAGGTGGCAAGGTGGTCTTGTGCCAAGTTGAATAAATAAACAAATAAAGAAAGAAACCAGTTAACAATTAAAAAATTTCAATGACTACAACTCAAGGTGGCATTATGGTCTTGTGGATGGGGTTGCAGACTTAGAATCCAATAAATAACCAAAGGTGCTGGGTTTGAATCCCTGGCAGGTGACAATAAGTACATGTATCTATCTTCTGTTAGGGACAATTTCTTGAATGGGACTCGTAATGATGGAGGTCACATGTTTGAGGAGAGCCATACCTAGAGCACCTTATTAAGAATCCACCACACTGGCTGTGAGCGGTTGCGTGCATCGTTCGTTGCACAAGTGGTGAGTTGTACGTGCTTACAACGTACGATCTCTGTGCGATTGCAACTTACCGTAAGGAGGCCGTACTCACACGTGCTTGTTATGTACGGTACATACGGGGCACGCGCGTCGCACGTACTCACACGCACGGGTGGTGAATCCACAGACCGACCGCACACAGAAAAAGTTTCACATGCACTTAAAAGTTCTACGGTGTGTCTGCGTGCTGCCAAATCCGTAAGATTCCGTACAGAGGCGGTACTCACCACTTACAGATCCCCTACGTACGTTTGCCCACGTTTTTGCACGTAGGCAGCACACACGGTGGGGTGTGACTGACCACATTCATGCCCCCAAGCCATGCTTATATAACTTATATAAGTTATACAGACTGCAGATCATATAGATGATAAAACGCACGCAAATGTCAAGTCACAGGCTTTACATAACTCTCACTGAGAGAGTAGAAAGACTTGTTCATCGTTGGGAAGAGATTGGTCATTAGGCCACACCAATTTAATTTGTTGGTTCTCGGATTTTTTCAGAAAAAATATGAAGCGACAGGGCGAAAAAAAATAAAATAAAACAGGTCTAGGCATCCTATTATAGCCCAAACTGCTACAATATGAGCCATGAAGTCAACAAAAAAGGACTGGGTTAAAATACTAAAGTATAAATTTTGAACTTTTAATCAAACCACTGCATTGATAGATGGAAAAAACTGTAACTGTAGGAAGAAAAGGAATTTCTTCAACTGTTGGGGCAAAATATGAGCATTTTTGAGTTGATTCAGAACCAGAATATTTTTTTTTTTTGCAAATCAAAAAAAAATGAAGAGGCGAATCCGAGAACCAACAAATTAAATTGGTGTGGCCTTAATTATCCTAATAGCGCGATATGGTGACAGTTATTGTTTAAAATTTCATCTTTATGTTGGAATAAACATCTTACTATAGTTCAACTGTGCTAAACAACATCTGCCTGAAAACTTTAAAACCCCAGGAGAAGATTTTGCATACTCTAAACTTGTCAAGTTGAATATTTGAGATAACAATGTTTTGTTTTCATGGTGACCTACCGAGCAGAA